AAGCGAGCTTGTTAACAAGTTGTGACAATGCTGTTCCAACAACTTGTCAACAAGATGTCTACTCAACAAGCTTGTAGCAAGCTTGTTAACAAGTTGTGACAATACTGCTCCAACAAACTGGTCAACAAGATGTCTACTCAACAACCTTGTAGCAAGCTTGCAGCAAGCTTGTTAACAAGTTGTGACAATGCTGTTCCAACAACTTGTCAACAAGATGTCTACTCAACAAGCTTGTAGCAAGCTTGTTAACAAGTTCTGACAATGCTGTTCCAACAACTTGTCATCAAGATGTCTACTCAACAAGCTTGAAGCGAGCTTGTTAACAAGTTGTGACAATGCTGTTCCAACAACTTGTCAACAAGATGTCTACTCAATAGGTTTGTAGCAAGCTTAACAAGTTGTGACAATGCTGTTCATGCAACAACTTGTCATCAAGATGTCTACTCAACAGTCTTGTAGCAAGCTTGTTAACAAGTTGTGACAATGCTGTTCCAACAACTTGTCAACAAGATGTCTACTAAACAAGCTTGTAGCAAGCTTGTTACAAGTTGTGACAACACTGTTCCAACAACTTGTCAACAAGATGTCTACTCAACAGGCTTGTAGCGAGCTTGTTAACAAGTTGTGACAATGCTGTTCCAACAACTTGTCAACAAGACGTCTCCTCAACAGGTTTGTGGCAAGCTTGTTAACAAGTTGTGACAATACTGTTCCAACAACTTGTCATCAAGATGCCTCCTGAACAAGTTTGTAGGAAGCTTAACAAGTTGTGACAATCCTGTTCCAACAACTTGTCATCAAGATGTCTCCTCAACAGGCTAGTAGCAGGCTTGTTAACAAGTTGTGACAATGCTGTTCCAACAACTTGTCATCAAGATGTCTCCTCAACAGGCTTGTAGCAAGCTTGTTAACAAGTTGTGACATGCTGTTCCAACAACTTGTCATCAAGATGTCCACTCAACAGTCTTGTAGCAAGCTTGTTAACAAGTTGTGACAATGCTGTTCGAACAACTTGTCAACAGATGTGTTTGCAATAGGTTTGTAGCAAGCTTGTTAACAAGTTCAGTGTAAATTTACTTTTTTGACCAATTGCCAGGGCAAGTTGGACATGAAAATTAGTTCCCCTGAATAAAATTCACTTGCCATCAGACAATGAGCACTGCATGGTGTACTGAAGTAGGTGGTGTAAATTAAGAGGACAAAATGTCTACCCGTTCTTCCACTGCTCTATATGGCTATGTTATACTTGCTCAGATCTAGCTTTGGGCCACGAAAAAACCACCTAAACCAACATGCTGGCGTCGTTAAACGGGCCTTACATATCAAATTTTTCAATAACAAACTTACGCAATATTCCAAATCGTTTATCTTTCGAGTCTGGATTTAAACGAATTTTATCCAAGCAGATTCCACAACACACTTCTTCACTCCTAAAATTCGTTGAAAAAAATTACAACTTTTCAATGCGCCCATGCAGTTTTTACGAGCAATGCGATTGCAAGATTTTCGGCCCAGACTTACTTCTGAACAGCGAACGAATATTTCATATTTTCCTCCAGCCATTTCATACACTCTTCTCTGTGTTCTGGTGAAAAAAACAAACACAAAATTTTATTTATTTATTTATTTTATTTATAAACTTTACAATCAACAAAGCGATTGAAGGTACAGACAACAGGACTGTGGAGTCCCAAATTAAGTCCTACCTACATATTACATTAACATTGTAAAACAATAGAGAGAGGTTACAACTTTAACAAAGCTACAAGACAAAATTACAACACACGATCAGTGCGTTCCAAACCATCCTTACACTTTCAAAAGTTAAATATGAACTAGACATGGACCGCCCATAGTTGCAATCCTTACAAAATTACAAAAAAAAGATCTATACATATAGATGGGTCAACATTGTGCAGCACAGACACATTTACAGAGTACAGTAAACATCCTAAACATGCATGTGCTCCAAGCTGTCCCTGCATTTTCCAAAGATAGGATACCAGAACATAGACCGCCCGGGTGTTGTTTTATCTGGGCGTTTAATTTGCTTTATTCGAATAGACTGAAACAAAAAACATTTTGGAAATGAAAAGACAGCTTGGAGCGCTCTCAACTATCACGAACAACAATACAACAACAACGACATTTAGAACAAATGGTTTTCCATGTCCTTGGACGATCAACGTCAAAGAATGTTTCAAGTTTGTCCCGGTAGTAGTTCTTCAGTTTATACTTGAGTGAGGCAGTAGAGGTGGAGGATTTCAGATCTTCAGAAAGGTTGTTCCACCAAGGCACAATTCTGTTGAAGAAGAAACTTCTGAAATAGGCAGTTCTGCAAAGGTTGGGTCTGTAACAGTTGGTTGAACTGAAGCGGGTCAGATGGTGGGTAGGGTGGTCGATATAATCTTCGGGGTTTAGGTCGTAGAGTCCAGATTTGATTTTGTAGAAACAAATAATATCTTTCATCTCATACCAATACGAAATAGGGAGAAGGTTAAGAAGTTTCAGTCGGTCAGCGTAGGAAGAGTGGTAATCTTGAAGTATGTATTTGGACGCTCGTCGTTGAACACTTTTGATACGGAAGCCTTTGATGTTGATTGAGGCGTCCAAAGTTCACTTCCATAACACAGATGAGCTCTCACGAATGCCAGATAGAGAGAGCGTCGACATTTTATATCAGTCAGGTGGATACAGTTGCGTCGGAGAAAACCGAGCATCTGATTTGCCTTTGACAGGATATTGGTTATTTGAGGTGACCATTTTAAGTTGTTACTAATTATTATGCCAAGGTCCTTTTGAGAAGATTTAAGGGTTATCAGCTCGTGGTTTAAACTGTATTCGGGTGACTCAATTAATCGTTTGCGGAAGAATCTGATTCCAATGCATTTTTTGAGATTAAACTTCAATTCTGAGGTAGAGGACCAACTGCTAAGGGAATGCAGATCGGACTGAAGGAGTTGAGTGTCATGTGATGTTTCTATGTGACTCGATAACATTTGCTGTCGTCGGCAAACATGGGTACTTTGCTGTATTCAGCAGCGTCAGGGAGGTCGTTAACATAGACCAGGAAGAGTAGGGGTCCGACGATACTTCCTTGTGGAACTCCGGATGTCACATCAAGATAGCTCGACGAAACACCATCTACTACAACACTTTGTTTTCGTCCCAATAAATAGTCGCTATACCAGTGCAAAAGCCGTCCTGTTATTCCAAATTGTTGTAGTTTCACAATTAGTTTATCGTGGGGAACAGAGTCAAACGCTTTTGAAAAGTCCAGATATATCATGTCAATTTCTTTTCCACAGTCTAATGCCTTGCCAATATTGTGTACAACATCAAGTAGTTGGGTGACACAGGAACTTCCTGCACGAAAGCCATGTTGTTGCGAGTGGAGTAGAGGTTTGACGATATAGGGGGTTCGGGCGTGGACCTCGTGCTCAAGGACTTTAGACACAAGGGATAGTAAGGGTATATAAAATGATATGAATACAGTATTCTTAATAATTATGCGAGGCGGAATGATTTTGATGTATTGAAATAAGTCACGGTGCGCGATTCAGCAACACTAATAATTGTAAACGAAGGTTGTTTAAGCAGCAATAACATTCTTGAACTGTGAGATCTTCTCGACAGGGCTGGGACCGCAAGAGAACATTGGGAACTTTCTGGGACCGCAAGAGAACATTGGGAACTTTCTGCGACCGCAAGAGAACATTGGGAACTTTTTGGGACCGCAAGAGAGAACATAGAAAATTTTCTGCAAATCTGATGGATGTGAACGAGTAGATGAGTTAGGAATGTTCGGAGTAGGCCGTGGGCTTTTGGCCATAATTATTTCGCTTCGTGGCACCCATGTGGGAAATACTTGGTTTGGGGTTTATTTGAAAGGCATATAGGTACATCACTACAAAAAAAAGTTGCTCAATCCCGAGAAAATGGGTGATCAATGATTATCCTCTATTAAATTGTATTACAGCAAAAAAATGGGAAATTCTGTATTCAATTACAATAAAAATGACTTGCATTATTGGAAAACGTACAAAAAATCGCATATAAGACTTTTAACAGTTTTTCTATTTTTCAAATAGTCTTTGAGTTGTTGCTGTTTTAAATGTGAAAATTGGACCAAAATGTCGCAATAAGGACTGGGTACTAGGTCAAAAACGCGTTTTTGACAGCGTATAACTCGAAAACAATTTTAGATATAAAAAACTGTTTAAATGTCTCATATGTAGGTTTTTGTAAGCTTTCTGATAATGCAAGTCATTTTTGTTGTAATTGAATACAAAATTTTACATTTCCTTGCTGTAATACAATTTAATAGAGGATAATCACTGATCACCCATTTTCTCGGTGTTGGGCAAGTTTTTTGCTTGGGGACTTTTTGTGGTAATTAAGCATCTATGGTTCTATGAATTGAACCACAGAAAATCTATTTCGCAGGAGGGTGCCACGAAATTGCTTTTCTAGGCACTTTTTCGCCCAACAGCCCACGGCCTAGAGTACATGTACGCTCATCTGAACATTCATAACTTATCGTTCACATCCATCAGAAGAAAATTGCAGCAAAGATTGCAAGTGTAAACGAGCCTTTAAAGGGGCAATGTCACCGATTTTTGAGCAATTCCAACCCTCGCAAATTTTGCCCCAAACTGAAAAAGAATGAGTGTAAGCACAAAATAAAGCGATAACAGACACAAAAAAACATGTACAGAAGTCTAGATGGGCAAGATTACGCCAGGATTGAGACGGATTGTAAATGGCATCTTGATTAATTGTTGGCAGACACTTTTTCAAGTTTTAGTCAATTTTTATGAAAATGTCATGTTACATGTTGCGTGGAAGTTCAAAGTTGTTTAATATGATTCTTATATCATAACTTAATCCATTTACAATGTTTATTTTTAACTTTGTAGTTCAGTTTTTGAATAAAAGGCATTTTAGGTCAAAAATCGGTGACATTGCCCCTTTAATGTAACGCAGTTACAGTGTCCGAGTGTCGATTTATTTGATGAAGGAGAAAATCGCACTGGAAATCACAGCAAAAATTGCAAGTGTAAACGGGCCTTAAAACAAGTTGTCAAACTGGATGTCATGCACGCTATATTTTATGCAGTATAACATTATTTCATAATAATACTCTTATTGATCTTCCAGCTCATTTCAAGCATTCAAGCGTAAAGCCCATGAATTGTTTTTGGATATGTATAAAAATAACTCGTAAGATGTACAGTGTATGTTAATTCTAATTTGTTATACCTATATCGATATGTACTTTATGTAATGATGTATACTGTAGTCTGTAGAAATGTAAATTGTACTGCATGTAAACATATTTAATTATATAGTTAATATTAGAAGGTCCAGTGGAAGATTAGCGAAAGCTAAACAGGCATATTTCCTTGTAAATTAACCTTCTTTAAATAAAGTTTTAATAATAATAACAATTTAGATAACAACATGCATCAAGGGTCGGATGTAAGATAGATACAGATGGAAAAAGGGCATTATTGGTGGACACTATGGCCCTGGGCAAATTAAGAAACATTGTTGTGGAAACATTTGTGATTCTTGATGTTTCCTCAAATGTTTCCCTGTTTGTCCACCTGTGGAAACATTGTTGCGGAAACAAAATTTGTTTCCCGAGAAGCAAAAATGTTTCCTACCTAATTCAGAGACATTTGATGTTTCCCTATGTTTCTCACTAATGTTTCCTAGTGTTTGCCCACTCTGGGAAACATGGCAACACATTGGCAGGAAACAATGTTTCCTAGTTTGCCTAGGGCTTATCAGGGGGTATCCATGCATGCATGTGGTTAGAATTTTTCCTCTGAATTTCTCCTTTTATCTAAATTATTACAATTGTCTTTTTTCATTTTGGGGAAATATTTTCTGAGAAGTCAAAAATATGTCCTTGGACCAATGGTCCTGTTTTCCCACCCCTGCTTCTCGAGAACATTTGAGTTCCTTTACTTTAATTAACAACTTGCATGTTAGACTAAATTTTAGTGTAAGTAAAGAGAAGGGAATCAAACGCCACAGCTAAAAAGAACATAATGAAATTAGTAAAATTGCAAAATTTGGTTGCGGTATACAGTAGAAGCTTTCAGATAAATTGTCTCAGCAAACCTTTCTGCTGCTCAGGATCGTTTGGATCCAAACAGAAATTATCACACACATCACAACGCAGACCATGAAGAAATGAACAGCTGAAACAAAGTGGAAAAAGTTCATGCTTTAAACAGAGGGTGGCTTTTCGTCTTTGTAGTATATAGTCCAGCGGAAAAGTAAAAAATCATGCACTTTGTGAAGAAAGCACCAAATTCACAGGAAGTGTAGACTTTAACATGATAATGAATCTTAGATATGGAGGCATCGCCAAAATTGATGCTGACGGCTTAAAATTTAGGATTTCCTATATTCTCTTATTAAACTCTATTACTGTTTAAAATTGTGAAATTGCAGGTTCACAATGACATATAGCAAAAATGACTTGCATGATTACTACATATAAGACTTTTAAACGGCTGATTGATTTTCCAAGCGGTTTTCCGGTTATTGCTATGAACGAAGACTATTCCCAGATTGCAGCCTCATCGCTCGATTATGAACTCTAAAACATTCTAACCTATGAACTGTCTATAAGTATTGTAATGTTCTAGGCCTGCATGAATTGCGAGGACGAGGTTACTGAGGTTTAACTAGTAGTTTATAACGCTCAGAAGCTTCTATAATCCAGTTTAAACAATGGCAAATTCAAAATATAACCTAACTTGGATACTTGCAGGAATAAAATGGTTATAAACACTTTATACTGGTTGTAGAAAAAGCAGCTAGTTCAAAATGCCAGCCTACTTGTAAACCCGCAGAGTAAAAGGGTAAAAACACTATGCTACTATTATATATAACCCTCGCTCCGACGTTATCGTTTGCAGTCTTAGGTATGGTGCTGTTTACCATGATGCTGATTCTTCTTACACTTGTAAAGATAGAGCTATGTGGGGAGCTGCGGGTGGTCTTGGCCCTACCCAGGTTTTCCTGTACTGCAGGTTTTTTCCTGACCTCCCTGATTACCCAGCCTTAGCATAAGTGTCAGCATCAAGTGAACAGCATTCTCTAGTGAACCTCGGGCCTTTTGACTTCGTTAAATTGACATAGCCGGACTTGGCCGCGTCGGCAATGAACTGAAATGGGTCTGCAATTAGTTCTTTCATATAAAAACAACAACAAAGTTCAAACATTTAACGAATCTGCCTAATATTGACATGCTAAACGCAAAGCAAAAAACAAAATTTTTATTCTTTAACCACCCCCTTTTTCACTTTATTGCCGACCCGGTCGACTCTGCGCTGCTTCCCGTGGCGGAAACGACAACCTATACTTCGTATAGATTGTCATTAATGGCAGGGAAGTGCTGTCCGATGGACAACACTTCACCACGTGAAGCGCAATCACTGCTCATTCAGGTCGCACTGAAGACCTGAATGAGCAGTCCTAGAGACTCGATGTGGTCAGTCAGGTTATCAGTTGCGGCCCGGGGTAATGTGCCCTATACCAATAGTTGTTCACCAGTCCAACTAGGTCTCAATGTCGACGGCCTGACGGATCTGAACGGGGGTTCGCCTGTTCCCCTGTTATCTAGAGGTCCGCCTGTTCCTCTAGAACAACCTACAGTTTTTGCATGTATCCTCAGCCAGCTTTGAGTACCCTGGGTAATGTGCCCTATACCAATAGTTGTTCACCAGTCCAACTAGGTCTCAGCTCGCTGAACGACATGCACAGAGTCAAGCATGCCCTCTGCAGTCTAGAGATTCGCCTGTTTCTCTAGATAAAACTTAGGTTAGCGAGAGCCTCTAGACAGTTCAGCCGGAACTGTTTTCGAGCACTTCTCTGCCCAAAATATATGCCACAAAAATGTGTTCCAAGTTATTGTTGCCTTGCTTAGTTGCCAGTTGTTCGATTTTAACTATCTGTCTCTTTTCCAACATATTCAACTTAAAAACGTGATAAATAGGCAAAAATCCCGCCAAAGTCCTGGACACTAGCCCTAAAACATATTTTCAACCGCTCGTAACTCCAGAGGAGTTGGAAAATCAAAGTAACTGCTTAAATGTCTTATATACAGTTTTTTGTAAGCTTTGTAATGACGCATGTCATTTTTGCTATATGTGAACCTGCAATTTCACAATTTTTAATTGTATAAGAGATTAATAAGAGAATATAAGAAATCCTAAATTTTAAGCCGTCAGCATCAATTTTGGTGATGCCTCCATATCTAAGATTCATTATCATGTTAAAGTCTACATTTGGTGTTTTCTTCACAAAGTGCATGATTTTCTCAAATATCTGTGCATATCCGCTGGACTAATAGTTCAATCTTTATTGTCGAAGATAGTGATCATAAACTTTTCCTAAGCGTGTGATCATAAACTATTCCATTTTCACTATCAAAATTATGTGATACTAGTAGGAATTTTTGATCAGTAGGAATAATTTTGCATAGGTAAATTCTAAGTTTTGAAGGATTTGTAAGAAATTTTTGAGGAACTGACTTATAGCGTTAAACACTGAGTCAGTTTCCTCAAACATTTCTTACAAATCCTTCAAAACTTAGAATTTACCTGTGCAAAATTCCCACTGTGGTCACAGAAATTTTGATAATGTAAACCAGGCATTAGTGCTAAATATTTTCCCCTTGCAAATTGTAAATAAACCATTTGCATTTTGCACGTTTAATACCGAAAATGTCAGGCTTAGTGTATAATAATAAAATTGTATAAGTTACCTATCTCCCTTTTGGCAAGTTCCCACTGCAGCATATGGACATAACTAAAAAAAAAAAGAAAGTGAATATTTAATACTCTCTAAAAACACCCTGCATGGTTAAAATTCCGGGTTAATCTAAAATTAACCCTGTTTGGGATAACTTAATGTTCCTGGCTAAATCTCCCCCCCCCCCCTATTTTTGCCATCCACCCTTCCATACATAATGATCGGTCCCTTAATTTAACTGGCCTCGGCCCTTGTTAATTTAATCACTATATACTGTGGCTAATTTAACCAGGATTCCTGGTTAATTTAACCAGGCTATACGCATGGTTGAATTAACCAGATTATGTTAGGTGGACTATTGAGCAAGAATTCCTGCTAAAGTGGTTAGTAGTTCACCTGACATAATCTGGTTAATTCATCCATACCATTTATGGTATAAGCGTAAACAAACGTAATTTGGAAATCTCCGATGCGCGCGCATGCAAAGTGTTGTCATTCACACGAAAAAACGCACAAGTTGTTACAGATCTGCAAACAAGTTGTTACAGATCTGCAAACAAGTTGTTACAGATCTGCAAACAAGTTGTTACAGATCTGCAAACATGTTGTTACAGATCTGCAAACAAGTTGTTACAGATCTGCAAACAAGTTGTTACAGATCTGCAAACAAGTTGTTACAGATCTGCAAACAAGTTGTTACAGATCTGCAAACAAGTTGTTACAGATCTGCAAACAAGTTGTTACAAATCTGCAAACATGTTGTTACAGATCTGCAAACAAGTTGTTACAAATCTGCAAACAAGTTGTTACAGATCTGCAAACATGTTGTTACAGATCTGCAAACATGTTGTTACAGATCTGCAAACAAGTTGTTACAAATCTGCAAACAAGTTGTTACAAATCTGCAAACAAGTTGTTACAGATCTGCAAACAAGTTGTTACAGATCTGCAAACAAGTTGTTACAGATCTGCAAACAAGTTGTTACAGATCTGCAAACAAGTTGTTACAGATCTGCAAACATGTTGTTACAGATCTGCAAACATGTTGTTACAGATCTGCAAACAAGTTGTTACAGATCTGCAAACAAGTTGTTACAGATCTGCAAACAAGTTGTTACAGATCTGCAAACAAGTTGTTACAGATCTGCAAACAAGTTGTTACAGATCTGCAAACAAGTTGTTACAGATCTGCAAACATGTTGTTACAGATCTGCAAACATGTTGTTACAGATCTGCAAACAAGTTGTTACAGATCTGCAAACAAGTTGTTACAGATCTGCAAACAAGTTGTTACAGATCTGCAAACAAGTTGTTACAAATCTGCAAACAAGTTGTTACAGATCTGCAAACAAGTTGTTACAGATCTGCAAACAAGTTGTTACAGATCTGCAAACAAGTTGTTACAGATCTGCAAACAAGTTGTTACAGATCTGCAAACAAGTTGTTACAGATCTGCAAACAAGTTGTTACAGATCTGCAAACAAGTTGTTACAGATCTGTTCACAAAGCGTAACCAGGATTATTCATATTGATAGTTCGGACGTTCTCTGGTTTTTAAACATTTATTGAAACGAGCTTTCGACTGCCAGTCTGCAGTCTTCAACGGGCAAGTGATAACGAATTACATGGAAAAACATTGTTTACAATTACGTACAAAAACAATTAAACAGTTCCGCTCCGCCTACATGATAAATATGATAATATTATCACAAGAAGAACAGATTAAACTGTTCAAGATCATTTTAGAAGAAACCGGTATTAATGTTCACGCAAATGTTTCGAGTTATTATAAGCATTAGTTGTAATCGTAGTATGCCAACTTTCGAGGGTTAATCTATGACGGTAGTTTCCTTTGTCGATAATTTGAAAACAGCAAAATGTGTTTTTCGGGCCCGCAATAGGCAGGGCCCTACCTATAGTTATGTATATTATTCTTGTTCTTGTTATAGTATTGCATGTGTATTATAATATGGCGAAACTAATAAATAAAAATAAATAAATAAATAGTGCCATTTTCTTCTTCTGATGCATGTAAACGAGTAGATCAATTATGAATGTTCTGAGGATACAGCCAATTCAAAAAAGTTTGTCCTCTGCCAACCTTGAAATCTAAACCTTGAACTCTAAGCGTGCAAAGCTTAATGGGAGAACAAATTTCAAGCTTAGTAGTTGAATATTGCAGCTATTTGTGAATGAATTGTTCTAGTAAGGAGATATTTACCATGTCTCCAAGAAATGGGCCTCATATATAATTTCTAAACTGATTAAATGATGCTCCTATTATGCTTTGCACGCTTAGAGTTTAAGATTTAAAGTTTAGAGTTTAAAGGTGATGTAAAGTCCGTAATCATTTGGTTACATTTTGAACTCACTAGTACAGTTGTAAAATATGACTAGATATATATTATATTGATCACTCGCCGCATTGACAGCCATGACCAATCATACTTAACTTTCGGTAAGCAGTCCCACTGATCCAAGCAACCGAAAAGTTAGTTGTACTTAGTTTTCTGCATGTCTCATGGTAAGGCCACATGAAATAAATTCCTTGATTCTCATCACTACACTTTGAAAGTGTCGAAGAGGCGGGAGGTTTATATTTTATATTTTATATAATTTATATATCAATAAATAAAAAAATAATTCCTAACATTTAATATTTCTGTGATTTCCAAAGTGTCACAAACCGAAATAAACATATTTCTCCACGAACAATGACTGAACCCTTCAACTGAATGCGAAGTTCCTTTAAAATGCAATGAAATTTCTTTCAAGGTTCTATTTGTTTGAAATTGGCAGTTAAAAATGGCACTAAAAACCCAATATAAAATATAAAAAACTTAACTGTCTTGAAATATTTTGTCGGACGGTGCATTTATATTGTATAACAAAATATAAAATATTTTCACGCGGCTCTTAAAATACAGTCGGGCGGTGATGAGAATCAAGGAATTTATATATGTGGCCTAAATAAACTTGGCACCATCAACTTTTGTTGCCTGTCACGTACAGCGAAGCCAAGAAAATGTTTTGTGTTTTTTCTTGCATAATTATGTGTGAACAGTACTCAATGTGAATGAAAACTGCATATTTTATCTGATTGGTAATCAGCCATTTAGTGTTCTTCCTACCGAAGAAAGAAAATTGGTAATTTCAGTTGTCTTATATTCTTTAGGCCTTTTATGCCAATTGAAAAAATAGAGGATGCGTAGCCAGGTTGAAACATTATTTATTGAAGGTTAGTGGTATGTTTTGTGTTTTTTTTCTTGCATAATTAAGTGTGAACAGTACTCAATGTGAATGAAAACTGCATATTTTATCTGATTGGTAATCAGCCATTTAGTGTTCTTCCTACCGAAGAAAGAAAATTGGTAATTTCAGTTGTCTTATATTCTTTAGGCCTTTTATGCCAATTGAAAAAATAGAGGATGCGTAGCCAGGTTGAAACATTATTTATTGAAGGTT